AACATTCTTATTGTTGTTTGTTTGCACCATTATCTTGTCATCGTAACTCACAAATACCTTTTCATCAGGGGCTTCTACAGTCACAAGGAAGGCTTTTACAGAAGATGAGAATTATGCCGCCCGAGTCATCTTCAAGATCTCATAGCTCATTAACAGCTCCTATTGATTCCCAGAATGAGAAAACAATTAAGGTGCAAACATGGTATGATAAAAAATATCCTGAGAGAATGAAGCAAGAAAGGGAAAGGGTAAGTGGGTAACTGAAAGTTCTGATATTTTTCCCAAGTTCTGTTTTTCGTTCAGATACAAAATCTTAATTGCATGTCTGTGATGTGTGTCCCTATGTTGATCTTCTTAATCTGGTTCTGAACTGAAATGATTTGCCTGTTACTTGCTGGGTTTTTTGTTGTTGTTTTTTTGTTTTTGACGTTGTCTCAAGGAACTGTAATCTAAGTATTGTATGGCATGCTGGGATGTTATCATCATAATTCTATTGTGCAAACCCACCTTTAAGTGACATCTTTAGTACAGTTCATCAAGAACCATATTAAAGTTTTAATATTTAATGCACAGAGAATTAAGGAGACTTATTGTGCATGACTATATGTAAGTAATAATTTCCATACTGCTTATATTCACAGTGGCCTTGGTCACTATTCAATCCTATTCTACACAAGACAAAGAAAAATGACCTATTTGATACTTTGAATTTGGTTTTCTTTCCAAGTTGTGTACAATCATGAGAAACTGCATAAGAAACGATGGCGAGTAGCGTATGTGGGCATGCCTGGAGAGATGTGAAAGATAAGGTTCACCCTTGTAGACCCAGATGCACACTTGAGTGAGGTGGATATCTCTGCATGAGTTGTCGTGCCAAGAAAATGGCTTCCATGGTCGACCTCCCAGGCATGAAAAGGGCAGCCCGGTGCATGTAGCTCCCGCTTGCGCAGGGTCCGGGAAAGCGTCCCAGGCATGAAAACCAAACAGAATTTTGATCACGCTTGTCATAAGCCAAGCATTGCTCATTTTAATTTAACCCACGGTCAACAGTCTACATTACATGTGTAAAGCATCTTGAACACATCTTTAGTAGATCCTTTTGCAGTTTTCACCACATGTATTAATGTGCATACATTGTGTTTGGCAGTGAGGGGGCCAAAGCGAGTTATCTCTTTCTCTTTCAACGCTCTATGCAGTGTTAATAGATTTTGTCTAGTGTGGTTCCTCTTTAGATTGTATCCTTAGTTCCTTGCAGCTGTTACAACTCACCTTTTTTGGAACTAAAAGAGAAACATTTTTTTAATCGAACATGCAAAAAGCTATGGATTTTTTATTTCTCAATTGTCTGAAAATTGTTGTTGTAAGTCGACCGTCTTGCATTAAGCCTAATGTTGAAAAGAAAAGGAAAACTGCTTGGTTTCTGCAATTGCTCAGTTGCACTGTCCTAAACCTGTAGTTTCTAAAACGATTTTATCGATTTTAATAACTGATCACACGATATATTTTCCCCAGCGCCGTTTATCTTTTCGGTTTATAATTTTCTGTATTGGTATATCCTTTTGCTTTCCGATAGTCGAGTATGTGAAACATTTTCTCAAAGAGTTCTTTCTTTTTCTTGGGGTTTTCAGGATGAAGCACCTAGTTCGTGGTATAATCCTCATGGAAGGGTGGCACACAGTGGTTTTGAGCATAACTTGGAGTTTGAAGCACTGGCTCAGAGACGTATAATCAATGCAAAGGTGAGTCTTCTTTTATCATAAACATGCAAGAGTTGTTGGCACCTATTCGTCTTTATTTCTTGTAAAATGCAGTCAATTGTTAGAAATGGGATTCCTGGTAAACCATTATTTCCTCATGCTTGTGTGTTGATGATCAGGTCCATGAGTATTCTGCCAGTGAAAGTGAGGAATTAGAGTATGGAACAGAATTCAAGGATATAGAGAGCTCACCAAGACATGAAAGGCAAAATGAACTGGATGAAAATAATGTATATGATAAAGACCTAGATGTTTCTTCTCTGCCAAATGAAGAGATTGAGGTAAGTTATCTGTTGAGTTCACCTGAAACTCCTATTTAGATGTAAAGAACTTGAATATGTACAGTAACTTAGAAGGGCTAATCAGATGGACTGCAAACATTTATCTTGCATAACTAAAGGAATCTACTTTGAAATATTGCATCTTTTGCTAGTTCTAGAGTCTGACTATGATTTTTGTTTTGTTTTGCATTTGACATTTATGATAGTACAGCAGCACTATAATATCTAAGCATGAACTTCTCTGTTGCACAAACCAAGCTTCTTTTTTAAGAGCTCTTTGCTTTCATGATGTTTATCACAGTGGAAGAGGCTTTTATTGAAATTAAAACCAGCACTTCGAACCAATCCTCTTTTTTAGCACAGACAGACAGTAGGAGAGGCTCCTACTGACATATATTGACCAGCCGTCTACCAATCCAGCCTATTGGTTAGCAGAGTCAAGAAGATACATGGGGAGCTGGAGGTATACATGGGGAAGCCTAGATTATTGAACTGGAGAAAGTTTCAACAAATGGGGCCAGGGAGGGCTTAACCCTATGTTCAAGTAGAGAAAAATCCTTGTTAAACCTCTCTTTCCACGATCCAAAGGATGGGGGAATACCCTGGAAGATCTTGTGGTTATGCTCCTTCCAAATACTCCGGGCTGACGTCACAAAGACCTCCATAAACGTTGGGCGTGTCCACCTTTTTCCTGAGTGCAACAAGTGTTGCCGGGTATCGGCATTGTCAAAACCTCATCCCCACCGTGCTCCAGCAGCATCTACTGGATGGGCAAGTAAAAGTCAGGTGTTTAACGGTCTCTTCTATTCTGCCATTGCACAGAACGCAGCTGACATCATCATCCACGTTATAATGTCTCCTACTGAGCATGTTCTTTGTGTTAACCTGTCAGCCAACACGAGCCACGCAAACACTTTGAGTTTCATAGTGCACTTTAACCGCCAAATCCAGGTGAATGCTTCATCCGCATCTACATCTTTGAACTAAAACTGGTAGTATCTGGCCGGCGTGTATTTTGGTCCCCATAGACACGTTCATGCATCAGTATTTGCACTGTTAGGTTCAACCGACGCCGTCATCTCTAGTCTGGCTTGCTCTAATGGCTAGCTCTATCTGCGCATGCATTACGTATATGTTGCGTTGGAGATTTGTATGCTTGCTCTTTTTGTGAGTAGGCTTATTGCTCAAATGATTGTCCTATAAAATTGTGACCTGAGACATTTTGTAGAAGCATTGCAAACAAATGCACTTTCTTTACAATTACATTTCAACGCTGGTGGCCTGATGTGTTGATTGGTACCCGTTCGTTTGAAAATACACCACAATTACCTACCAAAATTTTTGTTGTACAGTGCATCCTTTCTCTCCTGCAAACATATAACAGTATGCTTGTTTTGCTTAGGCAGGCGCTCTGCGTTTCTTGTCTTGTTTGCTGGCATAATCTGCTCCAACTTGCTTCTGTTGCAGGGACAAGAGCATAAGAGGGGACCAAGGAAGGGCAAGGTGATCGACTTCGGTGAGGAATTATATCCACCAAAGAAACGATTTCTCAATCGTTGGAGAAGGCAGTTGTTATTGACAGCGATGATGAGTGAGAAGAACTGCCAGCACCAAACAGAACAGTCAAAGCGCAACTGAATTCTGCATATGGATTGTCTGATAACTTCTCCATTTCTTAAACGACTTTGTACAATAAAAGTATGAATAATGTGGTGCTATACTTTGTTCGCCATTTTCAGAGTTACCGTCAGAAAACTGCCATTTTATAACCTGTTAGTACTTGTGTTGTTTCCAATCCTTCCCTCATGATGAATTTTTCCTCTCCATGACGTTGAGCGAGAGGAAATTTTCTTCTTCTGTGCTGCAGAGAAAAAAAAGTCCTCGCTGAGATGCAAAATTGGACAAATTTATGTAAATCTTCTGTAGTGAATATCTTACTCGTCTTGGAGTACACTTTTGCATAGGTTTGGATAAACGTCTGGTCCAAGCTTAGGCCTCTTTTGGTTCATAGGATAGGATTATCATAGGAATAGGAATTTTGTAGGAAATGAGATGGCATGTATCTCAAATCCTATGGGTAGGAATAGAAAAAGAGATGTCATTTGGTTGACACCAAAGGAATTTTTCCATTAAGTCTAGGCTCATTTTTATTTTCCTATGAAATGTGGAGGGAGGATAGGAACCAATCCTATGTAGGAATAGGAATCTATTCCTATGAACCAAAGGGCTAAAGGAAAAAATCCTATAAAAATCCTATCCTTTAAAATTCCTATGAAATTCCTTCAAACCAAAGGAAGTTATTTTTCTTGGCACGGCCATAATTTTACGGCGCCGTCGATGAAACTCCGCAACGTGTCCCAAAGCGTCTGCTTTCATCCATGATTCCGTTCCTTGAAAATGAAATAAAAAAGATGATATCCGCGTAGTGACGGCACGTACGTTAGGGGTACAACTTTCTTTTCCATCGTCATCTCTAAAGAAGCATTCTGCTTTCGTAAATGGTTCCTCCAGTCACCCCCCACAAAGCATGAGCAGCTTTGCACTAGTTGCTGCCCGGTCAGAAAACAAAAAGGAAAGCAAAATTGGAACAAAAGGAGCAAGTGTTTTCTTTTTAGTATTTGTTTTTTATAAAATAAGTGTTTTCCTAAAAAAAGAACACAAAGAGCATTTTTTTTTGAGGAACGAACACAAAGAGCAAGGAAGTAGCGGATCGGTTCGCATCGGGCTGTCCAGAGCTCCCAACAGGTGGGCCCACGTCCGCAGCCCGCAATCGCAATCCACCGACGTCTCTTCCTTCCTTACGATCGATCCCCTCTCTTTCATCCTACTCCTCCCCCACTTTTGACCCAGCTCCAGAGTTCCCCACGAAGCGAGCGTGCGCGACCTGACCGAATTCCCCCCGCCCCGCCCCACCCCAAACCCTAGCCCGCCCGCCCGTCCGCCCGCCGGGCCCCCGGCGCCGATGCCGAGGCGGCTCCTGGAGGGCGCCATGGCGCTGGCGGTGGCGCCGGACGCCGCCAACTCGTCGGGCTCCGGCGCCGCCCCCGGGTCCGGGTCGGGGCCCCTGTGGTGGGTGTCCGACTGCCACGGGGCCTGGTACAGCCTGGCGGTGATGCTGCCGTCGCTGGCCTTCGTCGGGTTCCTGGCCTGGCAGGCCCGCCGCAGCTTCCGCCGCCTCAGCTACGGCCGCTCCCACGTCGTCGTCGTTGCCTACTACGCGCTCCTCTGGGCCGTCGCCCTCCTCAACCTCCTCTGGTGCTTCCTCCAGGTCCGGCCCGCTCGCCCCCGTTACCGTTCCCAACTCTGGCTGCTAGTAGTGTTTTTTGGTGAATTCTGATGCATAAATGATGTGGAGTAACTCGTGCTAGTTTTTTTTCCGTAAAAAAAACAGTGCTTTTTTTTGACTTCTTCTACTAGAGGCTAGTGAAGTAGGTAGACGAGTTCAATCAGTTATCATAACGTTGGGTAGGATCGGCAGCAAGAAAGGTTACAGCTATGGAACCGCGGATATGAATCTGCGTTCTTAGACTTACTGAACAGTTCAAGTTTTGTATGCTTGCTTGTGTTTGATTGAGGAGCAGAATAATTGGGTACAACCGTACAAGTTAGGTAGACTTTTCATTAGACAAGTCTATTTTGTGTACATATGGTTTACCTTTTGTTTTTTCAACTTGGCAATTGAATGAATGGAAGTTGGGTTGTGATCACAGAAGCAGATGAGTGGGTATATGGGTAGGTTTTGGTCTGGTAATTAATGATGAGCTAGCAGCAGGCTTCTGGTAGGTATTTCTGTTCAAGACTACAAACAACTTGAGTACAATTGGCCTGGTTGCTAGTTTCCGGTTGCTTGATTACACATTGGCCTGGTTACTAGTTTCAGATTTCAGGTATATGTGTTTACTAATGCCACTGTTCTATGGGGTAATTGCATGAGCAACCGCTGCTCATATGCATGTGATTTTTGACCTGTTTCATCTTCAGTAACGTTGCTCATATGTTCCATTTTATATTGTCTGTTTCTATTACTCTTGTTTAACAGCAGTTTTATTGACTGACAGGCGTGGCAGTGTATGCCTGATAGGGCCTTCTCATGGAATGTGTTTTCATTGTTTACCAAATCTGGAATGTTATTCTTGGAAGTTAGTCTTATAGCATTTCTACTTCAAGGAAATGAAGCCAGTGGTTATGAGTCTTTGGGACGTACCTTTGTTATCTCTGGTGCTGTAGTCAGTGCTGATGTATTGCTCAAGGTATGTTACCCCTCCATGGTGCGACGTTTCTTTATTTTCCCAGTTCAAATAATGTATGATGGGCCAGATTTTTCGTAAGCATTACCCCCGTTCGAAAATAAGTGATCTGGTTTTAGTTCAAGGAGGGAGTATAGGATATCATTGATTTATTCTTAATAAAAATATGGAACGGAAACAAATTAACTATTTATCAGGTTCACCATGTCTTTTTATTACAAGTAAATAAAATGATCACCATTGTTTCATAATGGAGTGTGTATTCAAGTCTGTATCTGGTTTCTGTTGATGCTAAATCTCGCAGGGTCTTATCTCTTGAAAGTTGATACTATAAAATGAGTTTTGGGCTGCTACAGAGAGAAAACACACTCCATAGTTTAACTCTATGTTGTTTCATTGCATTAGATTATGCTGCAGGTGGATGTTTGAACGATAGTTTTTGTCATGCATATAGCTAGGGAACTGTATGTTGCCTTTGGCCTCACATTTCCTCCCTCTTCAGACCATATATGTATTTGGCTTTGGTGTTCCTTTGTTTATCGATGCTGACCAAGGAACTGGTGGGAAATGGGGCCTATGGATTCTCCACAAATTGGTGCTTACAGGAGTTTATGGCTTGATTGTTTTCATGCATCACTCGAGGTGGAAAGACAGGCTACCTGGTAATTGGTTACACTAATGCTGTATAATTTTGTATGTTTCAAATCTGTTGTTTGATGATCATCATTGTGTACTCAATATCATTTCACCTTTTTATGACAGCAAAACCAGCATATTACCAGTATGTGTGTGCAATGCTGGCACTTAACGGCCTATCGCTGTTTGGCTGTTTCCTCATTGCATGTGGAGCTGGATTTGGTTTATGGTACATAAATAATACCACAGCTCATATTGTTCTAGCTTATTCTGCACTTGAGAGCAAAATTTGAGTTTTGTCTATTGTGCAGGCTGTATAACCTCACTACTGTCTGTTACCACGCGCTTTACCTTCCACTTCTGTATGTGACTTTCTTAGCAGACTTTTTCCAGGTACCTTCTTCTTACCTATGAAATTAATACCTCTCTTTCTGTACTCCTATCGTCTTCAGCTTGTACACTGGAGTGTTTTATGTGCCTTTTTGTTCCTGTAGTGATTGTCTATGTCTTTGCCTGTTTGTTTGTGTGATGTTGTAGGAGGAAGATATGCTTCTAGAGAACGTATACTACTCCGAGATGAAAGACGCTGGGTTCTTTGACGCTGACTGGGATTAAACCTGCCTGCGGAGTCCATTCACGCTGTATGACTTATTTGTATGTGAATTTGCACGGAGTAGCGTCATCCTGGAAACTGAATGAATCTTAGAACAGAGATTGTACCCTAACAAGCAACAACCATTATAATCACTGAAAATGTGTAAATTTATCGATACGCACACCTGATTTGTGTCCTCTGTCACCATCTGTTTGGCACCTCAAGAATTGCCATACCTCAGATTGCCAATTACTTATCACGACGAGACGCTGTCGAAACTTGAAAGCCATAACTGGTGGTACATGTATGTGGACGCATAACTTGCCCTATGTTTTGTTCTGGCAGCTCTCTGGAATCTTTTCGCTACTAGTGTTACTATTACTACTTGGGTATTTCGAGTTGCCAGTGCAAGCAGGAAGTTGGAGTGAGATTCGAGGCAGTTACTGCACACATGGTATCCTTGTGTCATTTCTGTGTACTGGTGTACGTTGTTGGATTGGATATGGCATTGGCATGGGCAGTGACAGCAGTTATTTAGAGTATTAGTTACGGCTTGGAGGATGGAAGGCGCTGCTGCCGCTGAAGTTCCGTGAGGGAGACTGGACGAAGGTCACATGAGTTCATGACGCGACAGACAGCGCTTCAACGGCCTGAAACAGAGGCCATTGATTTTGATTTAGGTGTTAGAGGCCATTGGTTAGCTGCGTTCACCCGTCCGTAGACACGGTTTTCCCGTCAAACGGACGCCCACAAATGCTCTTGGACACGGACATGGAGTTTCTCGGGTCTCAAATGAGCCCAGATGAACAGTAAAACGAAAAATAATAATAATATGAAAATAAATCATAAAAATCCTTTTTTTGGCAAACATTAATAAATGTTTTGAGTGCTTGCAAAGTTTCAGCTTGAAATCACATTCGTGTAAGTTGTGGCAAAAAAAAGTTGACGCTTCGAAGATGCTATTTTCGAAAGTATTTTGGAGCGTTGATTATCTTTTTTGCCACGACTTCCACAAATGTGATATGATGATGAAAATTTGCAAGCACTCGAAACATTTCTTAAGTTTGCCCACAAAAAATCAGAATTTTTTGAATTGCTTTTGAATTTACTGTTCATGCCAAGAGCATTTGAGCTTGTGCTCATATTAGGATTTTTCGCTTCGACAACCCCTCCTATTGTTATAAAAAATAAACTCATCCTCAAAATTGAAAGGAGCACTATGTAATGCTCGGTAGGAAAACGGCTCCATTGCTCTTCTAGACCCTTATTCTCCGGCGATTCTCCGGCATTGCCTCCCTAGTGGAATTTGAGCATCATGCTCTGGATTTCTCTCCCTACATCTAACCTCTGATTTGTTCTTCCTTCCAATTCATTATGCCTCCTGTCAGTTCCTCTTTTCCATCAGCCAACAACCATCTCCCCCAAATCCCCTCTATCAACCTACCGCTGCAAACCCAGGAGGGTCCAAGCCACCACACTAACGGGGTCCTCTTCCCTCACCAGCTATCCGTTGCAAGAAAGGGAAGCCAAGCCGCCACAATCCTGATCCCTTCCATCTCCTTGGTTCCTCCCCGCTCCATCCAGTCCATCTGCAACCCCCTCACATCCTTTACATCCAATCCCTGCTCTATTGATTGACCACTCCCCGCTATCAACAATCCACCATGCCAACCCAAGGTCACCTCCTTTTCCTACCCCGATCTAGCGAGTTAGCCCACTACCGCTTCCTCTTGTGTGTCCGATTCCCTTCAGTTGTCCAATGCATAGTGATGATGGGTCGTAGGAGAATAGGCGTTGGTCCCGATATACTTGATTGCATAATATAGGAAGGAGAAATCTCCGTTGGGACATCCCTGGCAGCAATGGAGATGTAATACTCGTCCCCAATACTGCAAGGAATGCTGGTAATTTCCCTAGGAAATAATAAAATGTAGTATTTTGCCAATTTGATGTCATCAATGAAAGCGAAGGTTACCTTAATCTCAGAAGCTCTTTCGTCTAGGATTAAATTTCATGATCTAGTCAATCATTTTCCTATTTGGGGTAGTTTTGTTGTTCCCGCGGAAGGCCGATCTGGAGGCCTTTGGGTCATGTGGGCGGACGACATCCTGCGAGATATCTACAACTCTAGTCAGAATATGATATTAGCGTCTGTTGTTCATACCAGTACCAACTTTAGTTTCACGTTAGTTTGTGTCTATGGCAATACCCATCATCGCAAGGCCAGGGATATTTGGAAGAAGGTTGGATGACTTTAATGATATAGTTAATCCCTCGGAGAAGAATAGTAATGTTGTTTCAAACCATCATCGTATGGCTGCCTTTACTAATCATGTTAAGAGAAGTGGACCAATAGATATGTGGATAGGAACGTGCTATGCAACAACAAAAAATATGCTACACGATCATATTCAGGAACACTGTGAAGATGGCGGTAATGATCAAACTCACCGATGGGCAGTGTAGAGGAAGCAGTGAAGAGTCGATGTAGCGCGACGAGTCCTATAGCTAGGTTATACCTACTAACCGCGAGAATGTTCACCGAGGTGAGAGTTGAAGTAGATGAACCCTCTGAGGTGTCCACACATTCTATAGTAGTAGGGAGAAAGCCTAGCGGCTTTTCTCATCTAATTAAGAGTCTCATTCTCGTAGACCAATTAGACCTAGATTAGAGCCTGGCTAATTAGGAGTCTAAACACTCATGCCAATTAGCAGGGAGAGCGTGAACCTATGAGGGAGAGATCCACTTTGGATTGGTGTGTTGCAAGAGGGAGCCCTCGACACACACACACACACACACACACACACACACACACACACACACACACATATATATATATATATATATATATATATATATATATATATATATATATATAGGTGGAGAGGGGGGAGGGGGCTCCCAAGGAGGAGTCTTTCTCCTCTTCCACTTGGTGGAAGGAGACTCCCTCCCTATCCAATTCGGCCCAGTCCTTCCTTATGGAAGTGGTGGCCCTAGGGGGGCGCTAGGGGTGGTCATCTCATGTGGGTAGTTCATAACTTTCTTCCACAAATAAAATCTCAGATTATCCGGATTTCTTCTTGGTGTCTATGTTTCCACACATGCAATTGGATTTTCGTCTGAATCCCATATTCAAGAACCAATGCAATTATAGCATATATATATAGAAATATAAACATAATTACAAACATGGAAATGGCATAATAACATCTTATTATTGCCTCTAGGGCATATTTCCAACAACACGGGTTATACTGGTCCTGCTTTTACCTGGTGCAATAAGCATTTTACTTCTTTTCCTACTTATGAGCGTTTAAGTTTCCCAACACCTCTATTTACAATCTTCCTATTATGTATAGTGATCATGCTCCTATCTATACGATATCCAATATAGTCCTAGTAAAAAACTAAAAAAAACTTTAAATTTGAAAACTGGTGGTTGTTTGAGTATGATTATCATAGTACTATAAGAAATAATTGGACGGCTACTAATGATAAAGCATACCATATTGAACTGCTTTATTTGCAGGCACCGTAAGGAAATGGAGCAAAAATAAGAGGCCTTTAAAGCAACAATTAGATACCATCCATTAAGAGATAGAAATGATATAATCTGCCCCTACTCACTTGTAGGATCACAATTTGGAAGCTGGCCTTATGCAACAGTATGACAAGACTATGACTAAACTAACAGAATTATACACGCAAAGGGCTAAATGGCATTGGGCTACGAAAGGAGACAAGAACACCAACTTTTTTCGTAACTAGATTCTTAAGAGGAGAAAAAATAGGATTAATGTGATTATCGACCATAATGAAAACTTGGTTCAAATCCTTATGCTATTGCTTATTGTTCTATTAATTATTTTTCTAGCTTGTTTACCTCTAGCAAACTAATTTAAATGTCCTCCCACCTTTTCACAGTAACTTTGAAAACATGATAGATTGGCGAACTATGCGAGATAAATATGAAATTCTACGGGTTCACAAAGAGATGAAGAAAAATGCGTCTCCAAGACTAGATGGTCTCAATGTGGCCTTTGATGTTTGGAATTGGATTCGAGATGATGTTACGAAGTTGGTACAATATTTCTACATTAGAGGTAAGATGCACCCTTGACTAAACAAAACATATATTACTGTAATTCATAAGAAGGATAATGCTAAGAACCCTCAAGACTTTAGACCTACTAGCCTTTGTAATGTAGTTTATAAAATCATCACAAAAACTTTGGCTAATAGGCTTAAAGATCTTTTACCTAATTACATACCCATAGCTTTCATTCAAGGAAGAATTGCAAATAATATTATTGTTGCTCAGGAGGTTACCCACTCTTTCAGCTTAATTCTTGGAAACATGAAGCTTTCATGCTTAAAAATAGATCTAGCTAAAGCTTTTGATATGATAGAATGGGATATCATCAAGAGAGCTTTGCTTCATAAAGGGTTACATGGTCATTTTGTAGATTTAATTTATGAATGCATATCTACTGCCACCTTTTCTGTTAACATTAATGGACAACCTTTTGGCGGCTTTAAAGGATCATGAGGTAGCCAACAAGGTTGTCCTCTGTTTCCGTATCTTTTTACTCTTGTTATCAACGAATTGTCGTTTTCTATGCAAGATGCTTTAAATACAAATAGTTGAGCAGTATCCAGCTGGTGGCCTCTTGTCCCCCTATCCATTCTCTAATGGTTGCTGGTGACTTAATTGTGTGTGATAGGGCAGATAATGAAGATGCCAATACCATTGCTCGCATTATTAATTAATTTTGTCCACCCTCTGGTCAAACTCCCAATTGGAATAAATCTGCCATCTTGTTTAGCAAACATACGGATAATGCTCTCAGAAACTCCATCATGAATGGATCTTAATACCACTCATCTTGGTCATCCTCTCATTCTTCCATGTAAGAAAAGAGTTGCTGCCTACAATTTTATTATAGGAAACTTTAAGGCTAAACCTAGTTGCTACAAGGCAAATAGGCTTTCACATGCTCGTAGACTTACTCTCATTAA